GACGCTTAAGAGGGGATATCGCAATATACAAATCTTTAAATGGTGACTCTGTCATTGGGGGGAAACTTTTTAATCTTAGGTCCCTAAAGAAGACCCATGGACACAAAATGAATTTGAAGTGGTTCAGTATTAAACTATGTAAGGGGTTCTTTACTATTAGAGCGGCAAGGATGTTGAACTCCCTTACACAAGTGATAGTGTCAGCGGAGAGTGTAGATATATTTGAAAAAAACTCTTAGATGTGTTTCTCAGTAAACACAATGTACAGGGATATTGAAAATGGTAGTGAGATAAACACACACGCACAGACACACTCAGGTTGAACTGGATGGACTGGTGTCATTCAGCCTTACCAAATACAGTATCTCACAGAAGTGAGTACACCCCTCACATATTTGTAAATATTTTATTATATCTTTTCATGTGACAACACTGAAGAAATTACACTTTTCTACAATGTAAAGCAGTGAGTGTACAGCTTGTATAACAGTGTAAATTTGCTGTTCCCTCAAAATAACTCAACATACAGCCATTAATGTCTAAACCGCTGGCAGCAAAAGTGAGTATACCCCTAAGTGAAAATGTCCACATTGGGCCCAAAGTGTCAATATTTTGTGTGGCCACCATTATTTTCCAGCACTGCCTTAACCCTCTTGGGCATGGAGTTCACCAGAGCTTCACAGGTTGCCACTGGAGTCCTCTTCCACTCCTCCATGACGACATCACGAGCTGGTGATTGTTAGAAACCTTGCAATCCTCCACCGTCCATTTGAGGATACCCCACAGATGCTCAATAGGGTTTAGGTCTTGAGACATGCTTGGCCAGTCCATCATCTTCACCCTCAGCTTCTTTAACAAGGCAGTGGTCATCTTGGAGGTGTGTTTGGGGTCATTATCATGTTGGAATACTGCCCTGCGGCCCAGTCTCCGAAGGGAGGGTATCATGCTCTGCTTCAGTATGTCACAGTACATGTTGGCATTAATGGTTCCCTCAATGAACTGTAGCTCCCCAGTGCCAGCCTCATGTCACTCATGCAGCCCTAGACCATGACACTCCCACCACCATGCTTGACTATAGGCAAGACACACTTGTCTTTGTACTCCTCACCTGGTTTCCGCCACACATGCTTGACACCATCTAAACCTAATAAGTTTATCTGGTCTCATCAGACCACAGGACATGGTTCCAGTAATCCATGTCCTTAGTCTTGTCTTCAGAAAACTGTTTACTCCCTTTCTTGTGCATCATCTTTAAAAGAGGTTTCCTTCTGGGATGGCAGCCATGCAGACCAATTTGATGCAGTGTGCAACGTATCGTGTGAGCACTGACAGGCTGACCCCCCACCCCTTCAGCCTCTGCAGCAAAGCTGGCAGCACTCATAGATCTATTTCCCAAAGACATCCTCTGGATATGACGCTAAGCACATGCACTCAACTTCTTTGGTCGACCATGCGAGGCCTGTTCTGAGTGGAACCTGTCCTGTTAAACCGCTCTGTGGTCTTGGCCACTGTGCTCCAGCTCAGTTTCAGGGTCTTGGCAATCTTCTTATAGCCTAGGCCATCTTTATGTAGAGCAACAATTCTTTTTTTCAGATCCTCAGAGAGTTAATTGCCACGAGGTGCCATGTTAAACTTCCAGTGACCAGAATTAGAGAGTGAGAGCGATAACAGCAAATTTGACACACCTGCTCCCCATCCACCCCTGAGACCTTGTAACACTAACGAGTTTCATGACACTTATCTACCTTACCCACCTATCAGTGTCTGCTACTCCTCTCTGCAAGTCTCTCCATTGGCTTCCGCTCACCCAACAAATAAAATTCTAACAATAACTTACAAAGCCATCCAAAACCTCCAGCTACATCACTAACCTAGTCTCAAAATACCAACCAAACTGTTCTCTTTGGTCCTCTCAAGACCTCCTGCTCTCTAAACTCCTCCCATGCTCATCTCCAGGACTTCTCGAGAGCCTCTTCCATACTCTGGAACTCCTTATCTCCTATCTTCTGGAACTCCTTACCCCAATCTGCCTGACTATCTCCTAATCTATTCATCTTTAGATGATCCCTGGAAACCCATCTTTTTAAAGAAGCCTATCCTACTTCTAACTAATACACTGTGTTTTTTTACTTTCTCCATCAGCTCATTCCTCACAGTTCTTATCTTTTGTATTGCTTGACCCTCCCTCTTAGATTGTAAGCTCTAATGAGCAGGGCCCTCTGATTTATATAGCACCAACAGTTGTCACAGCTCTTTACAACATGAGGGCAGACAGTACAGTTCCAATACAATTCAATACAGGAGGAATCAGAGGGCCCTGCTCATTAGAGCTTACAATCTAAAAGGGAGGGTCAAGTGATGCAAAAGTAAATAACTGTGGGGGAGGAGCTGATGGAAAAAGTGGAAATACAGTTGTTAGGTGGAGGCAGTATAGGCTTCTCTGAAGAGAAGGGTTTTTAGGGATGGTCTAAAAGTGAACAGAGTAGGAGATATACAGACAGACTGAGGTAGGGAGTTCTATAGGATGGCAGATGCTCAAAAAAAGTCCTAGAGGCAACCATGAGAGGAGGTGGCAAGGGAGCTAGAGAGCAGGAGGTTTTGGGAAGAATGAAGAGAACAATTTGGTTGGTATTTTGAGACTAGATTAGTGATGTAGCTGGGGACAGAGTTGTGGATGTCTTTGTAAGTTATTGTTAGTATTTTCAATTTAATTAGTTGGATGAGTGGCAGCCAGTGAAGGGGACTGGCAGAGAGGGGTAGCAGACACTGAACGATTGGTAAGGTGGATGAGTCTGGCAGCAGCATGCATGATGGACTGAAAGAGGGATAGCCTATGTAAAGGTAATCCAATGACGAGGGAGTTAATAATAATATTATTTGTACTGATCCCTACTGAGTTTCCAGTAAGTAATTGCAAATGGCCATATTCACAAGTGTTAAGGCCTTAATCTCTCACTTTGACAGCATATAACAGTCTGAAGGTCACATTAGAATTTGCAATACATTCTGACCTGCTAGTCTACTCTTTATTATTGTTCTGTCCGTACCTTTTTACATGGATCCATGCAAAGTCTCCCATAGGTAATTGCAAATGTTCTCACTTGGAAGAGTGAATGGTACTTTATGTAGTAGACCCTAATTGGCTTTAATCCTCCTTTTTATTTTATAACTACAGTGCTCAGCATAAATGAGTACACCCCTTTTGAAAAGTAAGATTTGAATCAAAATCTCAATGAACACAAGAACAATTTCCAAAATTTTGACAAAACTGCGTTTTATAGAACATTTGTTTAGCTCATTACATGAAAGTAAGGTTAATAATATAACTTAGATTAACAAATCTTCAGTTTTACTCAAATTAGTTGATGCAAAAATGAATACACCCCACAACAAAAACTACTACATCTAGTGTTTTGTATGACCTCCATGATTTGTAAGGACAGCACCAAGTCTTCTAGGCATGGCGACATATTGCAACATTTATCTTTTTCAATTCATCAAGAACGACCTCTTTCAGAGCCTGAATGCTGGATGGGGAGTGAAGCTCAACTCGTCTCTTCAAAATTCCCCATAGGTGTTTGATTGGGTTCAGTTCAGGAGATATACTTGGCCACTGAATCACTTTCACTCTATTCTTCTTCAGAAATGCAACAGTGCCTTTAGATGTGTGTTTTGGATCATTGTCATGTTGGAAAAGTGCATGACGACCAAGGGCACGGAGTGATAATAACATCCTCTATTTCAAAATAGAGCAGTACACCTGTAAATTCATGATACCATCAATGAAATGCAGCTCCCTGACACTAGCAGCACTCATGCAGCCCCACAGAAGGACACTGCCACCACCATGTTTTACTGCAGGCACCATGCATTTTTCTTTGTACTCCTCACCTTTGCAATTCTATACAGTTTTGAAGCGATCAGTTCGAAAATCATTTATCTTGGTTCCAACACTCTAGAGTACAGAGTACCAGTAGTCTTCTTCTTCTGCAGCATGGGCCCTGGCAAATTCTAGGTGGGCTTTTTTGTGCATGGGCTTTAAGAGAGGCTTCCTTTGTGGATGACACCCATATATGCCATTCCTCTGCAGTGTATGCCGTATTGTGTCATGGGAAACAATCACCTCAGTTTGGCTTTCTACTTCTTTAGCTAGCTGCAGTGAACTTGCATGGAGATTTTCTTCATCCCTTCTCATCAGAAGATGTTTCTGTCAAGGTGTTAACCTCTGTGGATGACCTGGACATCTCTGTCAGATGGTTGCAGTTGACATCTTTGTATCACTTTTGCTACAGTATTCTGACTGATAAGGAAATCTTTGCTGATCTTCTTGTAGCCTTCACCTTTCTTGTGTAAAGAAATGATTTTCTTTCTCAGACCTTGTAACATTTCTCTTCCATGTGGTGCCATTACTGGCAGCATGAAATGGGAAGGGGTAATGCCCTTTTATAATCAACTCTCTGCTAGTCACCTGTTTAACCACTTGCCTACCAGGCACTTATACCCTCTTCTTTACCAGGCCAATTTTCAGCTTTCAGCGCTGTCGCACTTTGATTGACAATTGTGCGGTCATGCAAGATTGTACCCATATGAAATTTTTATCTTTTTTTTCTCACAAATAGAGCTTTCTTTTGGTGGTATTTAATTGCCGCTGGCCACTTTACTTTTTGCGCTATAAACAAAAAAATTGCAAAAAATTAAAAAAAAAAAAAAGTTTTTTTGTTTCTATTATAAAATTTTTCAAACAGGTAATTTTTCTCCTTCACTGATATGCGTTGATGAGGCAGCACTGATGGGCACTGATAGGCGGCACTGATGGGCACTGATAGGCAGCACTGAAGGGCACTGATAGGCAGCACTAATGAGGTGTCACGGATAGGCGGCACTGATAGGCGAAACTGATGATGGGTACTGATAGACAGCACTGATAGGTGGCACTGACTGGCATCACTGCTGGGCACTGACTGGTGCCACTGACTGGCAGCACTGCTGGGCTGCACTGATGGGCACTGGTGGGTGGCATTGGTGGGCACAGGTGGGTGGGCACAGGTGGGTGGCACTGCTGGGCACAAGTAGGTGGCACTTCTGGGCACACTTGTGTGACACTGCTGGGTGGCACAGGTGGGTGCACTGCTGGGCACAGGTGGGTGCACTGCTGGGCACAGGTGGGCAGAGCTAGTGGGCGCACTGCTGGGCACAGGTGGGCGGAGTTAGTGGGTGCACTGCTGGGAACAGGTGGGAGGAACTTGTGGGTGGCACTGCTGGGCACCGATCATCAGGACACTGATCATCAGTGCCCTGATGATCGGTGCCGATCCCTGCTCTAACAACTGCCGATTCTCGGCAGTACTTTCCTCACGATCTGACAGCGTGAGGAAAGTGCAGCCGAGAACCGGCAATTGCATTTCCCGGTGATCAGCGTGTCATTGGACATGGCTGATCACGCGGGTAAAAGGCCGCTGTGATTGGCTTTTTACCACATCACGTGATCAGCTGTGTCTGTAGGACACAGCAATCACGGAGATTGCCGGGTGCGCAGGAGAGCGCGTGTGGAAGGTCGTCATATGACGCCCACCCAGAACTGGCCAGCCGCAGTGCAGCCATCATTCGGAATCTGCTGTCGCAAGTAGTTAAGTAATAATTAGACTCACCTGTAGTTGAATTCTTGCCAGTGTTTTGTTGTCTAATTCCTAAGATTTTTGGGGTGTATTCATCTTTGCATCATGGTACTGAATGAATTGATGAGGAAAAATACTTTTTTGTGTGTGCAGATTAAAAAATCTTGTTTGCAATCAATGGCCCGCATTTGTGGAAGTATTTTGTACTATAGTCTCCCATAGAAAATGTTGATTTTGAAAGAAAGTAAAGGTTTTCTGACAAATCTGTTGGCGTGTACTCATTTATGCTAAGCACAAGTTACAGTAAGTACACAACAGTTACTTTTTTTTTTGTCTGAAAAAGAGGTTTGTGTGTACAAACCATCTCTTGTTGATGGCACAATATAATATAAAAAATTAGAGAAAGAAAACCAAAAAGGCTAAACATATTTATGAAGAATAACACCTGACTGGTAAACAATCTCTAAACTACATAATTTGTTTTTAGGGCAGACTGCAAGTATGAATAACAGAAAAATACCAAGCAAGATGATCTATGAGTTCATAACATTTAGTAGATCACCCAGACTTGATAAGCACATTGCAGGCAGCTGTTTCCCAATGAACAAATGAAAATGAAGGCAATGACCCAGTAGAAAGGTTACTCTTGTGAGGGATCATTAAAATAAAAGCATTCCTAGAGTCATGTCTTACATAATAGACATGATCACATGGCAGACTCAGGATCCTCAACTATAGGCTAGCTCCTTTGCCTCAAGCTGCACTCTACACAGGTGTGAGACTTGTGAAGACCCAGGATTATGAGTTGTAATGCTGGTAAAGATCAGAGACAGCAGTAATAAGAAGGGCAAAGGAAAAGTAAGAATGAAGGTTCAGCGTCGCACAGACATAATAGCAAGCCAGCATTCATAGAGGAAATATGTGCAAAACAATGTATTGAACACATACTAACTGAATAATGAAAGTGTTCTGAGGGAAAAGAAAATAACTGGTGTTTTATAATATGTCAAAACAATGTGTGAGGTATTGATATATTCATTTTGAAATGTCTCATTTATAATAAATAACAGTTGGAATGTTTAAAAAAAAAATAGGCACAAAGATTTTTTACAGGAACTTAATAAAAGATACTTAAAATGTGATTTGTGTTTAGTGTGTAAAGTAGAGGAATACTTACCTTATTCCTCGTTTCCAGTTTTCCTGCCCACTAGGTGACTGCTCCTCTTCACCAGTCTTCCGGTCGTGGACTGTTTGGCTTAATTACCAATATTCAGGACCAGTAGTCCTGAATTGTACATTTGGATGTTGAGGGTCACCCAGATATTGGGAGTAGAGGGAAGCAATAGAGAGTGCTGCTTACTGCCAAAGCCAGGAATAAGGTAAGTATTCCTTCACTCAACAATCTTCTAGGATAAACTATTAATCCTTTATATCTGGGAGGCATTTGATATTAATATACTGCTGATGACTAGAGTTCAGCTACAAAAAAATCTAACTGGTTGACACTACAAATGATTTCTGGATAACGCTGCTGACCAACAAAACTGATATTACAGCAAGGTTCTTGGTCTCATTTTAATTACTTTCTCCAACTGTGATTTACAGCATTGGTTGACAACCTAGCATTTACATCTTTATTCAAATTATTTTTATTCATTAAAGAAATTACCTGAATTATGGTACATCACAGACACTAATACATAGCTACACCAGGAAACTTCACTACCGCTAAGTTCTCTGGGGATCATTGTGGAGCACTTTTATTACCAATATATCTGAACAAGTTGCGGTCACCAGACTTATATACAACCCAGCATACTGTTTTATCTACAACATTCATGCAAAATGTCAGAGTTATTAGAAGTATGAAAATTTGACAAAATAAAAAATTACTACAAGCCCATCAAGGTTGTATTAGAAGAAGTGGATTATCACATATAGTTGGGGCCTCACTGTACAGAAATATTATTTGTTTTTCAATGCTTCATCAAAGTTTACACTGTACTCAGGAAGCCACTTTGAATTCAGCATGAGATAATGGGATATAGTTTAAAAAAAAAGTGCATATCTAAATAGGTAAAAATAGGCACACCTCTGCCATAGGTAATAATACCTGGCAATTGCATTTATGTTGTAATACTGTTGATTACTGCAATATCATAATGCTGAGTTATCACTGTAGAAATATTCTTTACAATTATTTTTACACACGGGACACACATAATATGTTTTAGAATAATTTATAAATAATATATTCTTTTACATTATTTATAATACTTACCGGTTCCACCAGCCCAAGTATTTCCACCAACGTGGGGCATGTTATCTGGATCCATCTTTCCATGCTTTGGTGAACTCACATCCAAACCGCTCTCTCTCTGCACTGTGATCTACAAAAATGGTGAAATACAAAACGTTAGTCACTTGGAGCCTAAGATGTCATAGTGTGCCCTGCACTATAATGAAATATATCCCCAAGTATAGCAGTTACTGTATGTTACAATAAGTACACTGCCAAAGGTAACAAAAGGGCTTTTTATGTCAAACTGGGAAGAAAAAATGTCTTGTGTGCATCCACACACCAAAACTATTGTTTGCTGATCAGATTTTGTCCTTTTGTTGTGAAAATCTGACTTACAGGCAGTTTTGGCTTCTGCTTGAGAGTTTTACATATCATTTTTGATGGAAATTCCCATAGGACCACTTCTGTCCAGGTATTTTACTACCTGCATGTGCCATTTTTTTCTCATTGGCTAAATACTTTGATGAAAAAAAAAGTTTTCCCTGGGTTAGCTTTATCTGTACAATGATGACTGAATTGCTATTAACTGTTAAGGCTTTGTACTGAGACATAACTAAGTACAGTTATGCAGAAGTGTCTGTGTGTTGTAAATTACTATGGTAAGCTTACAGATATTACCACCGTGATGTTTTGCGGTAATTTCGCCTCTACCATATCTTTACCCCACTGCTTAAATTCAAATAAAATTTATTGTATCTATTGAGACTACATTCCAAACAGTGTTTTCTAAGATGGTTGTTACTCAGAAAATGCAGTCTGTATTCCCTAAAATTTGCATTCCTTCCTCCTTTTACAGTAAATTCCTGTACACACGATGAGAATATTGGACAAACGATCATCTGTTTTTTGTTTTTTTTTTTTTTGTGCATGCTAGTCTCATATCGAAAGTGAAGAGGTTACTAAAGTTGCGAAAATTCTTGTACGCAGAATCAAAATTCTAAAGTGATGTAATGTCTTGTATTGTATTTTCGGATGAACACTGTACTGATTAAACGAAAATCGTATGATCTGGTATCGTACGAGAAAAATCTTCGTGCTTGTCTCTTTGAATAATTTCGGATGAAAGCTGTGTACTAACAATCAGATTATTGTATGATCGCTTCGAAAGCAGTATTTTTTGTGCAATTTTCTGATAGTGTGTACTAGGCTTAAGTCATCAGACTATAGAAGCTGCATTTCTCATAGATCATATGAGCTTCCAGAAAGTGGAGATCCCACCTCTTCAGATTTACCACTGGAAATAGTCTAAATATCTGGTCCGTGCTGTGATAGAAGAGGCTGCTGATGGAAAAGGTTGATATACAAAACCCTGTAGAGCCAAAAAGTTGTAATTATCTGCACACCCACATACATTAAAGTGCAAAAAGTTAACATATAAAGTGCAATATAAAATCAAGCAAAAGAAACACTAAAATTGTGTTATCTCCAATATAAAGTGCATATGATATTTCAATGTAAATAAATGATAAAGTGTCTTAGTGTCGATAAAGTGCAAAAAAAAAAAGTCCTTTAAAGTCCACATAGACATCTGTATCCTGTGATTCCCCCATCAAGTAATCAGTGTTTCCAAAATCTTCACCATATAAGCCCAAAATACCAGCCACCACCTCATGAAGTGAACACCCACTAGAGAATGTGCTAAAATACATGTAGAAACCTTAGCATGTCATCTCAAGGGTAACACATGCATCCATTCACAGTAGTCTCCTCTCCAGTACAAAGATCTGATCCAAGCTGCAGCAAATAAAGGAGAGTGATCCTAGGAGAAGTTATTGGTGAAGAGTTGCGGTACCTGTAGTGATCCTGGTACCTCAAGCGATTCTCCCTCCCCTGGGCTCTCAAACCTCCTGATCAGCCCCAGCCAGAACTGTGAGGTCATTACAGGTCCCGCAATGCTTCACTGACAACTTCTCTTAGGAGCACCACTTTACCCGCTGTAAAAGATTTATCCCAGAGTTAAAACAGTGTTAAGCTATAAAAATCCAACTCTAGCCAATTCTACAGTATCTCAAATTATATTACTTTTCGTTGTGACTGTATTAAGTCAATCAGATAGGACTCAATTCATTTGGCTGATTAAGGTGATCACACCTGCATATGAATGCAATTCAGACAATTTTTGACAGGTATCTAAAGGTAGAGGTGTGTGAAGATAGGATTAGCAGATGAGCAGACAAATAAGTAATCAGGCCAATAGGAACTTTTACTTTCTTTGTACTGAGTATAATGTTGCAAAAGTGCATGTCAGTGCTGTAGTGACGTGTGGGGGAGTTCATACAGAAATGTAGTAAATGCAGAAGCTAGCACTGGTGCAGTGATGACAAGGGGAGCAGTGCACATTGATGCAGTAGTGGTGTGTACAGAAGTGCTCAGAGGTGTTGTTGCTGTGAGTGAGATATTGAGAATTTATGGAGTGTCAGTGAATAAAATACTATGCGATAGTGCAGTGGCAGCATGCTAATGCAGGTCAGTGCTGTAGCAGA